GTCGCCAACGGTCGGAGCAGGGTGATGGCAAACTCCTTCTTGCAGTCCTTTCACTTATAACGCTGGCAACAACCGCCCGTCTTAGGCAGCGTTCAGACTTCGCGACGGCAGCGCTTCGGTCGCGCGTTCGACGCGATCGATGCGCATGCTTTCGACTGCATCGATCGCGTCGAACGCGCGACCGAAGCGCTGCTGTCGCGAAGTCTGAACGCTGCCTTAGGCAATCGTGCCCACTTTTTTTGAATGGATCAGGTCCTGGTGCTGCACAGGTGACGCTGCTTGCAACTCCGCGTCGCTGAACGTGGATGCTCCAGCCTACACTTATTGTACTAAATATCATGTTCGAGACGGTACCCTTGTGCAGCAGTACTCTCTATCATTGCGGCGTGGCTCTCCCAAAAACCATCCCAATTTGTCTCATCTGACGACGTCGATGAAACCGAACTATCTGATCTCTCTGAAATATCAAACTCAAGTGAACTATTCTTAAAAAAACGTTAATCTCGTAAATAATGTACAATGCGATACATACTTAGAGTAGGTTGTGGATCATTCTCTTCCTTTACCGGTATGCGAACACCGAGAGTGCTGAAAAATGCTCAGATCTTATAGCTCACTAATGACATACATATAATACCCATGAAACATGCGCAATACTTGTGAGCATGGGCTCATATCAAGTTCGCGGTATAGGCCAGCCTCCTTTTACAATTAGCTGATTCAAAGTACCACCTTTTTTGTTTCTGACAGCTATGTGGTGGAGACTGGGCAACCACTCCTCTTTAAATAGTATCTTTCTAACATGACGGAGCAACAAGTATCACACAAAACCGGTAAGGAAAAGACACTGGTAATATTCACCCAGTATGCCTCCCTTTTCGAGATCCAAACTCAGTTTTGAGTGAAATTTCTCCTGGGGGTGGGGAGGGGCTTACTTCCACACATAGACATCACATTTGCTCGCGCCATAGGCGCCGGAGCCAGAACACCTCGAACCACCGAGTTTGCAAAAAAAAGGCCTTTGAACATGGACCTCGCATCCTATGGTGCTAAACTGCGAAGCGCGCGCTAAAAACGGCTTGTGGCGCCAGCGCCGAAGGCGGATGTGTTACTTGTAATTGGCAGCTTAAACTACCTCCTAGCCACCTATAAAACTTTGTCACTAAGAAGGACAAAAGATTAAGCCTTCGATAGGGCCTATACAGTGGCTTGAGGGGACAAAATAATGTGT